TTTTTTAAAACGACATAAGTATTATTCAAAAAATGTGTTTACGTTATAATATAAGAATTAACAAAAATTAAAATTTTAAATGATAATTGTGTCAACCATGTTTAAAATTTTGATCTATTCTAGTAGTTCTTCCTTTAATTTGTTTGAATACTTGCTTCATTATACAAAAATATCATAGATTGAAAGGTAAAAATATATTTTGTGCCTACGCGCTTTAAAAGTTTTAGAACTATAATAATTAAGACCCTGAAGCCTAAAAATGATGTTCGAAACTAAAAATATGATTTCAAGGCATTTGGCATACGNAAACTAAAAATATGATTTCAAGGCATTTGGCCTACATGCCTTAGCCTAATATCAATTTGTAATATATGGTTTTTAAGCTTCTAAATCTCAAAAAGTGATTTTCTTTTACAAATAAGGTATAGTACATAATTAGAATAGGAAAAAATTTAATACATAAAACTTAATTAATTTTGACGTCCTAAATATTTAAGAAATAATTAAGGTCCTAACTATTTAAAAATAATAATTAAATGACTATTTTGTTCATTGTAATTTTTTTGACACTTCCTACAGTAAAACTATGCAATTTTTGATGATAAAAATAATAGAATAGTAAAGCTTCGTTTATATATGCATTACATATATAATTGAAATAGGAAAAGATTTATGTAAGGTAAAAATAAAGACTCCTAAAACAAAAAGGAGTTCAAAGTGCTTATTTTTTTACCTAATAACTTATAAAAAAAATTAATCTAAACCTAAAATGGGTACAAAGTGGTTGAAACTTTCCTAGTACAAAACGAAAGTGCTTGAAATTTAATTGAGTCAAAATTTTATTTAAAAAGCCTCCTAAAATTAAAAGGAGTTACAAAGTGGTCGAATACTTTCCTAAGATAAATTGTATTTGAAATTTAATACTTCTAAATTTAAGTGGAGGTAGAAAGTAAAAAACTATCATAAATTTAAAACTAAATGGGGTTTGAAAGTGACGAAAATTTTATTAAAAGATCAATCTTAAACATATAAGGAGTACAAAGTTTGGGAAATTTTTATAGTGGTAATTAAAAGTTCATGAAATTTAACACTACTAAATCTACATGGATTTGAAAAGGCACGACTTGTAGAATTAAAAGAAATAGAAAATTAAAGTCATAAATAGTAGGAGAATAATTAAATGAGTATCCCTAAATATTAGGGAATTTATTAAATAAATATTTTTAATTATTAGAGAAATAATTAAATGACTTTTGTCTAGTGTGAACTTTATTTTTAGAGGGTGAACAAGGCAAAATATTTCGCTAAGGGCTTTCGTGCTTTTAGCCCGAAAACATATGCGTCGGAATATTATCAGGTGCCGAGATATTTCCAAGTTCGATCCAGAAGAGACAGATGCAACGAAATCCACGGCGGAAGAACTGGAGCAAGTTGCATTATTTGAAGAATTCCTAAAAAGGAAATTCCACTTGGGGAGAGGACTGCACCCGAAACTCAGCGCGTTGCGCGTGTATTCTATGTCAATAAATATAAATTTTTCAAAAATTATACAAATATTATGAAGTAATGTATTTTAGTTGATGAATCTAAATTAAAAATGTAGTATAAGTTTTCTAAAATAATGTATGTCAATTCTATTTAGCTAGCTCAATAAAAGAAGAAATTACTTCCTATTAGTCATCTGATGCCTTATTGTATTTTTGCCATATGGGTTAAGTATTTGGTGACGAAACCTATAGAGAGAAGCACAAAGTGTTGAATTATATTCACATTGCTCACAATAATATTTCACTCCTTCTATGATCTTTACGCTTCCCTAAGGAAATAATTTGAAAATGCAAGCTCGAATATTGCAAGCTTAAACGTGAAATTTTTGAGTTTGAGGACAATTCAAGTTTACTAAATCCATAATGGACGCGTATGAAAAACTCCTGACCGAAGTAGGGTCCAACTAGAAGTTTGATTAATATTTGTTTTTCTCCTTACAAGATTTTTCTTAAGTAGGAAGATGAAGAGTAGTGGCAGAAAACAAATTCACTTCCTTGTGATTTTTGGATTTGCCTCCAATTACCCAGATTATGCAGTTGTCTTTTCTATTTTTAAAATTAATTAGCAGAATATACTTGATATGAAAATATTAATTTATAGAAGTTCTCTTGGCAATATAAGTAAATTCATAACTTATTTTTGGTTTCCTATTTTTTTTTAAATACCCTCTTTGACATCTCTCGAAACCAATAGTCAAATATAAAGGTAGTATTGTTTTTTTATTGATATTTCTAGGTTTTCTCAGTTTCTTTTCTGACAAATAATTATTATTTTTTATCATAAATATATGATTAATATATTTTTCCAACATTAATGATTACTATTTCTAAAGCTAATGATGGATATTATTAGTAGAATTAATTGTCGTAGTAAACTTTAAAAATAGAAAAATAATATAATTTAATAACCAAGCTTTTAAAAAATATTTATCGATTGAAATTTTAAGAATAGAAGTATGAAAGGAAATAAAGAGGCAAAATTGGCCTTATATAATTAAAATACAAAGAACAAAGAACATAAAATTATCGTGGAGTTTCCTTGTTGGAAAAGGAAACTCCTTCTATATTTTATAGTAGACTATAAATTATTCTTACGTGTACGCTTTTATAATTCTGTGGTTTAGTTGATAATGTTGGATTAATTATTATTTTAACAACTTTAAAGTCCTAAATATTAGAAGTACTTTTTTACTTAGTTCAAATAAGGAATGATTAATAAAAATATATTAGTATATTTTAAGAAATAATTAAATGACTATTCCTAAATAGTAGGAAATTAATTAAATAACTCTTCCTAAATATTAGAGAAATTAAATCAATGACTACTTTGTCCAGTGTGAACTCTATTTTAAAAGGGTAAAAAAGACGAACGACATTTCGCTAAGGGCCTTCGTGCTTTTAATATAGTATAGATATATTATATTATCTTTTTAAATATATATATTTTTGTACCATAGACTTATTTTATTTAAAATTAGTTGTTTTAACTCTTAAATGATGAAAAATAATAAGTTTTTTTATTAATTAATCATTTTATTGATAACACAATGTTATGGAATTTTCAAATTTTTATGAGTTAAGTTACAACTTGTTTGGATGATTGTTATCTATTGTATTGTATCGTGTTGTTATTTTAAATACAATATTTGTTTTGATTGTTACTTAAATTTTATTGTGTCATATCGTTAAATCCATTATTGTGTAACGATAAAAAGTATCACTTTATGTAACGACCAATTTGGTATGGTCGCGTCGTTACCTTATTTTTTTCCTCTCATATTGACCTTCGTTATTATTAAATAATCATGTTCTATCCTTTATCCTTAATAATTCTATTTGTACTTTACTTGTTTATAATACTACAAGTTTATTCTTCATATTGCTAGTGCATGACATCAAGAAATGATATACAAACAATACGATCTATCTAAATGTTGTATTCATCAAAATAGCATAATATAATATAATACAATTGATACATTATGTAACAATCTGTAACAACAATCCAAACAAGCTTATAAACAATAAATTTTCCCTTTGTACTTTAACTGTATTTGCATATGCATAGCAAAATTATATTTTTATATTATTTGATCATGAATCTATTCTGATTACCCTATATTCAACTCATTAAAAAATTTGTT